ACAAGCTGTTAGCAATAATTGCTACAAGGCTCGCTGGCACAAGCCGCAGCCTCCCTGGCCGTGAACCTTGCTCAGGAAGGAGGCAGCTGCAGAGCTGACAAATCCCACCCTACTGCAGGTCGGGCTCTGGCCCTGGCACTTGGCTCTGGCTGATGCCATGCTGAGCTTTCTGGGGGCACCCAGAGCTGTGGCAGCAGATGGGCTGGCAGTGGGTGCTGTGGGGCTGTGCAGGGGGCTCCCATGCTGCAGTGCCTCCTGGAAGGAGCGGCTCAGAAAGCTGTCATGGCAGCGTGGCTGAGCCCCTTCACCAAACATTAGGGTGAATCCTTTGGGGCTTTCTCTGCACGTGAGGGGGGGTGAAGGAGAGGGCTGGGAGCACTGCAGGGACCTGCACAGCCCTGTCCCTGCCTGGTCCAACTCCAGCAGCCCTTTCTGCAGAGCTGGGCAGTGCTCCCATGCCATCCCTTGCCATCCCGTACTCCATATTCTATTCTATTCACCCTGCTGCCAGCAGGCCAGATGCTGGCCTGATCCTGCATGGGGGTTCCCGTGCCATTATGACACTGGAAGAGCCTGTGCAGATGATCCTGGCCATCTACAGGACCATTTCCAGCAGTAAATTCCTGGCCCAGTGATCAGCATGCATTTAAGTATCCCACTAATGCTGAGGCTTTGCCTGCAGATGGCAGCTGCAGAGGGCTTTGCTCTCCTCCCCTGGCAGCGCAGGGCTGCCCCACACGGGGGCAGATGAACTCTTGCATTTTCTTCTGCCCAGTCGTGGTTGCTCAGCACAATGCGCTCCTGCAGGGACTGTAGGACTGCAGGAAGTTGGAAGGCACAGTTGAGATTCCTTCCAAGAGCTTTGATGCAACTCACCTGGGTGGGAATCCTGCTCTAGGCAGATGGTTGCAGGTATAAATTTGCCTGTATCTCCAATAATACAAGGATGTGTCACCTGGAATAGAAGAAAACATCGCTATGCACTCAGCCAGTTTTGCAAAGAACGCACAGTACTGGGCAGCTGAGCAGAGCGTGTGCCTGATGCTCCCACTCCTGCAGAAGCCACATTGCTGAGCTCCACTGCTTTTGCCTCCCCAGGTCTGCGACAGCGTGGTCAGATCTGTTAGCGGCGATCTGCAGCATTACCTCCAGACCCTGCCAGGTACTGCGCGGCTCTGCATGCGGCTCAGGGATTTCCTGGCCTCTGTGAGGGGACCCAGGCAGCGTCTCCAGGCCAGGAACTAGTTTGCGTGGCTGGAAATGAGGAGGGAAATGTCCCTTTTATTTCTAAACAGAAGCAAACGCGTGCGAAACCCCTGCCTCTCTGCTGCTTGGGAAAGCCAGGGCACGGCACTGCGCAGATGTCAGCAGAGGCAAGCTGCTCCCGGCTCTGCTGTGCCGTCTGCCTTTCACTCATCCCTCTGCCCCATGTCTTGCAGTCACGGCTAAGATAGATGCCAAGGCTGGAATCGATTACTCCTTGGTGGCACCACCAATGGCCACTGCGCAGACCCTGGATGTAGACCTGAAGGTGAGAGCCTGCCCTGGGCAGACTCGAGGTGGCTGATGCAGGAGGCAGGTGGGATGCTGGGCTCAGCTGCCTGCCACAAATACCCCCCAGCTCCTTCTTCACTCACTTCCTCTTTCCAGGGTGAATTCTTCTCCCTGGCACATCGTGGTGCTGTTCCCTTCCCCCCGCCAGTGCTGGCCTTCCCTCCTGACCACGACCGCATGGTTTACTTTGGGGCCTCCAGCTACTTCTTCAACACTGCTGGCTTCGCCTACCATGCAGCTGGGGCACTGGTCTTCGAGATCACAGACTCCATGGTGAGGAGGGCAGGCGGGATGGGACTGGCTGGATCCAAGGGCTCCTCTGCATGTCCTTTGTTCTTCCCTGTGGAGCTGCATGCAAGCACAGTGCAAGGCTGAGATGTGCTCGGTGCTCACATGAAGCACACACATGAGGGGCTGATCATGCCCCAGCCCTGTGCTGCATTGCCCAGCAGTGACCATCCTCCTCCCACAGATCCCGAAGGGTGTTGAATTCCATTTGAATACCTCCACCTTTGCGGCCTTCATTCCCCAGGTGAGCCCCAGTTCTGTCCCCCAGCTTCTACCCAGCACAGGCTTTGCACAAGATGCTCCCCAAGAGCACAGCCCTGAGTTCCCCATGGGCAGGAGCAAACTCAGAGGAGGGGCTGCTCAACCCTTCTGGGTGCAGCATCCCCATGGGCTGTGGCGCAGGAAGGAGCTACAGGAGGCTCCGTGCTCCCATGCATGTGCCATGGTTCCTTCCCTCCCCCTGCTCCCTTGCAGCTGGACACGATGTACCCCAACATGCTGATGAAGCTCAGGCTGTCTGCTCCCTCTGCCCCATTCCTGAGCATCACACCAGGTGGGATCTCACTCCAGCCCGTTGTGGACATCCAAGCTTATGCCATCCTTCCCAACACTAGCCTGGCCCATCTATTCCTCCTCAGTTTGGTGAGTTGGGACCTGGGCTGTATGGGGATGCCAGTCCTGGATGGGTAGCCCTTTAAGATCACAAATGCGAGTTTTCACACTGAGTGCACACGGGTCTCTGCATTTTGGCTAGTCTGAACAATTCCCCCTGTGCCTGCTTTGGTATGAGGTTGATGGGCACTGAACTCTGCCTCCCTCTCCAGACAGGCAACGTGTCCGCCACCATTGATGTGAAATCTGGCCACATCGTTGGGAAACTGAGCGTGGGCAGGTGAGCTGGGAGCAGGACAGCTCCAGGAGGAGTTGGTACTAAGTGGTGGCTGGGGGCAGTGAGTTGGGAATGTGCTGGGGATGAAACCTGTGATGGAGGCAAAGAGCTGGGCTTTGGAGGAAGCAGGACTGGCATGGGCACGGAGGGGACACCTCCTTCCCTGGGGCAGCCTGCACTGCACCACGTCTCTCTGTGCAGGATGAAGCTCTCTCTGAAGCATTCAGATGTTGGCACTTTCCAGGTAGGCTGTTCCTGACCATGATCAGAGCCCCCAGCATGGAGGAGGGAGCCTGCTGGGGGCTGTGGAGGCGGCTCACCCCTCCTCTCACACCAACATGGGACCTGGGAGTGTACTTCTGTCTCAGCCTGGGAACAGGAGCAGAGTCACCCTTGCCTTGTTCATTTCCCACCCCCCCAGCACGGCACAAAGCTCCTTCGTTTTCCTCCTCCTAATTGCCTTCCAGGGTCTGGTCACTTGCTAAAGCTCTTTTCCTTTCTTCTCTCTCTGCAACTCCAGGTACGAATGCTACAGTCAATAATGAATATATATGCCTCCAGTATCCTGCTCCCACGTGTTAATGGTAATAACCTGCTGGGAGGAATGGGGCTGTGGGAACAGTCACCAGCCATGTCACTCTGTCTGAGCAGGCCCAGCTTGTTAATTAAATCTCTGTTGCCAGGCCTGCTCAGTGGGTAGAACCTTCAGAAAGAGGAGGATGCAGCAAAGTGCCCAGCTTGTCTGGGGCTGGCAGAGGCGAGCTGTGGGTAGCTGAGTGCAGGAGCCTCTTTCCGTGCTGTGACGTGCATTCAGAAGTGAACACAATGGAAAAAATGAGTTTGACACACATCCTAATGCTTTCCAGACCCTCTCCCCCACTGACTGCTTTTTGTTACTGCTGAGCAAATCAGCCCAGAGCAGGGCTGGTGGCTGCCATGGGTCTGGGAAGGGGCAGCACAGAATAACGTGGAGCCCCAGACCTCCGTGTAGCCTGGAGGAACCACTCTGCCTACCCACAGCACTGGGAGGGAGAGGGAAGGGCTGGAGGAAACATCTGTCTGTTTTGCACAGCCCCAAGCTCCCTGCTCTGGTCCTAACATAGCCCTGTTGTTGTCTTTTCCAGAGAGGTTAGCTGAAGGTTTCCCACTGCCGCTGCCAGACCGAATACAGCTCTCCAATATCCTTGTGCAGTTTCACCAGGTGAGTAGTGCGGGCCCTGGACAAAGCCAGTCCCGGGAGCAGAAGGAATCTGATGCCTTGAAGGGCCTGGGGAGGTCCCAGAGGAGTGCCATGGGCTGGATGCTGGATGCTGCTGGCAGGGTGTAGCTGTGAAACATCTTCAGAGCCCTTCTGAAGCTAAAATTAGCCACGGAAGATGGCAGCAGCACAAAGCGGGCGGGTGATGAGGAGCAGGGCTGAAAACAGCTGCAAAGATGCCTCACAACCCCCTCCTCTCTGTTTTTCCCAGAATTTCCTGCTGCTCGGAGCAGATGTGCACTACACGCCCCGGGAGCGCAGATAACGATGACGAAAGAGGCTCTCGCCACGAGGACGGCTCCTCAGCCTGCCCCGCGCTGTCCCTCCCGGGGGACCCCGTTCCCGTCCCCCACTTAGGTTCCCAGCCTCGGCTGCAGCCTCAGCTGCTCCCCCCGCCATCCCTGCTGCTGAGACAGAAAACAAGCAGCCCTGCCAAGCCTGACTCACAGCCGGCCCAGCACAGACCGCAGACGCGCGGGCGGGGGCCAAAGCCAAACCCCACGGCTCAGGCTGGGCTGAGGGCTCCATCACACCCGGGGGGGACCCTGTATCCCCCAGGTCCCAGTGAACCACAGCCGCACAGCAGCTGCTGGGGCTGACCATAGCCTGGACCGGCTGTCCCTTCGCTTTCTCCCTGTGCTTTGCCGTCATTGAGTCGTGCTGCGCTCGGCCAGGGGGGTCCCAGAGCCCAGGGGAGCCCCCGCTCGGAGTCCTCACATAAACACATCGCGGTGAAACCAGCAAGCAGTGTGACAGAGGTGTTATTCGCTGCCTCCCAGCACGTTCCCCGATTGAAGGGAGGTGGCCAGAAGCGCCTCTGGGGGATATTTTTATCCTCCTCGTCGTGTTAAAACACCACGGAAAAAAAAAATCATCTTTTCATTTTTTCCCGTCGCGGGGCTGCCCGCAGGGACCCGGCTCCGCCCGGCGGAACGGCATCGGCGCGGAACGCGAGGGCGGGGTTGTGCGTTGGGTGGGGGAATCGTTTGGGCGCTGCACCGCGGAGCCCATCCCGGGAAGCGCCCCTCTCCGGGCGGCGTCGCCATGGCAACGCGGCCTGCTCACGCGGCCTAGCGCGGCCTTCCCGCCGGGTTCGGCCATGCGGGTTTGGGGGCGCGCGCTGCGGGCTGCCGGGTCCCTCCGCTGGGCCGCTGCCCGTCCTGGGGCCTCCCGCGCAGCGCACTGTGGTCAGAGCGAAAGGCCTCAGGGACGCAGGGCCAAGCTGCCCGCGGGGCCGGACCTGAGGCACTTCCTAAGAGGGGCCGCCGCGCCACCGCCCGCCAGGGAGCCGGAGCCGGAGCCGGAGGCGGGGCGGGGCTCTACCTCCGGTCTCGGGAAAGGTCGGTGTGCCCCTGTATTGGCCCAGCCGAGCTTAGCCCAGCCACGAGCGCTGCTGGAGCTCACGGTGCCCGCGGGCGAAGCAGCACGGGGCTGTGGGGGTTTGGGCTCAGAGTGGTTCTGGTAGCATGAAAAGCCCAGCCCGGCGGCCTCCTCCTCCCTGCTGTGTTTCCCTGTGGTCTCTCCCTGCTACCCTGGCTGCCAGCAGGGCTGTGCCCAGCTCCGGGGAGAGGAGGCTTTCAGTGCCCGCATGTGGCAGTACTCACTGCTGCTTTGCAAGCTGCAGTCCAGGCCTGCAGTATTGCAGTGATGTGCTTTGAGGCACTCAGGTTTCCAAGCGCCACTAAGAGCCTGTCTGTATTTTTGGCTTGCTCTTTCTCCCTGTCAGGGAATGTACTTCTTATACAGCTTTCCTGAATCTCTTCTTTTGTGGAGCTGATGCTTCCTTCCTGTGGAAAAAGTCACAGAAAGAGCTTGTAGATGAGAGAGATTCACAGCAGTGTTGGATCAACCCGTCTGTGTCTTTGTTGCAGTGTACCTGGAGACCTATGGCTGCCAGATGAACGTCAATGACACAGAGATTGCTTGGGCTATCCTGCAGAAGAGCGGCTACACCAGGACAAAGAAAGCAGATGAGGTGAGGCGCTTTGGCAGCTGTCTGTAAGGAAGGCCTGAGAGGGCTTCACGCTGCGGTCAGGTCCCAGGTTTTATTGTGAGTTATGGTCACACAGGGCAGTGGGATTTTTGCAGTCTAAATTCTGTGCAGGAGAGAAAGCTACTTAACAAGCGTGCTGAAAGGCTGTGGGTTGTTTTTGCTCCTTTAAACCGCTGGGTTCTCTCAGTTGGAGAGTAGATTGGGCACAGCAGGATGCTCCTGACTCATCTCGGGTTTACTTCTGCCATTCAGATGAAGGCTTTGCTGAGTTTTCTTGTGACTTTGTTCTTTGAAATCCACTGAGCATTTAGGCAGATCTTTTTTCTTTGAGTTAAGTGATTTTTATAGTCTGCCTCTTCAGGTTATACTTCAGGTTATATGTGCAGGGCATTAGGCTTTTTACAAATGGCTTTTACAAATTCTCCTTCCTTTTATGTGATCTTCAATCTAGGCGGATGTGATTCTACTTGTGACCTGTTCTGTTAGGTAAGGAAACTTTTGTCATTGCTATTTTTTGGTAGCTCTTAAGGAATTACAATTTGAAAACCAAGGCAAGAAAGTGAATTACATGATGAAAGCAGCACACAGATGTCAAACAGCACATTTTGTTTAGAGTAGAGCTAGTTGATGTTACAATATATAGCATGCATTGTGTAATAGATTACAGTATGGTGAGAAAAGCTCTGTGGTGGTGTGTGCAATGTATATGCTTCATGGGATCCACACACATTTGTGCTTGTATGGTTTTATGTTTTGGTCTCCTATTGAAGTGACTGTAGTAAGAGTATAAGGTCTGTCCTGTTGGGAAACACATTTGGGGTTGATTCGAGATATAAATATATAGGGAACTTTGTTTTTCTCTGTGCACTGTCACCTGCAACGTAGCTCCTATTTGTTGGTGAAGTCCTACTTTTCCTCTGTGTGATCTCAGTTGTCAAAAATCCCTGAGGTATTTCTACACTGTAGATGCTCTCAAGCAGCTCTGGGTTGGAGAACTGTTAATGTGCAGTAATGGGAATAACTCCTGTCGTTCTGGCTTCCAGGGACAAGGCTGAGCAGGCTGTCTGGAACCGCCTGCAGCACCTCAAGGCTCTGAAGGCCCGGCGGCGCCAGGCGTGCTTGCCTCTGCGCATTGGGATCCTAGGTATGAGGTGGGATGCGGCAGGGAGCGCAGGCTGTTGTGCCATATGCCATCATGCTGCGTTTCCTCTTCCTTCTGCTAGAGTCCAGCCTTTTCTGCTGGGAGAGAGAAGCTAGGGAAAGGGTGCAGTGTGCTCACTGAAGGTGGACGCTTGCTCACAAGAATCCTTCTCCTTTGGTGGCAGGATGCATGGCTGAGAGGCTTAAGGAGGAGATTCTTCATAGGGAGAAGCTGGTCGATATTGTGGCAGGCCCTGATGCGTATCGGGACCTTCCCCGGCTGCTGGCCGTGGCTGAATCTGGGCAGCAAGCTGCTAATGTCCTGTTATCACTAGATGAGACTTATGCAGATATTCTGCCTGTCCAGACTAGCGCAGGTGGCAAAACAGCATTTGTGTAAGTACCTTTTTTTCTGTGTGTATTTCTGTTGTTCTGGTTTGGAAATGTTGCTGTGCTGAGCAGTCGTGTCAGTGACAGCAGCTACCGAGAGAGGCAATGCCTGGCTGCACTCACTCCCCCAGCCCAGAGGCACCAGCCTACCAGACTGTGTGTTTGCTGTCTTTTTGCTGTCTGACTGAGTGCTGGAGAGACTGACCCGTGCTCTGGCTGGCTGCAGGCTTCTCTTGCTGTCCTCTGAGAATGCTGCTTGTTTAAGCACGGTGCTGCAGCAAGTGATTTCTGTCCCACTGATGTCTGCGCCTGTCAAGTCTGTGCCTTCTGTCATCCCCTTCCTTTTGCTGTCTCCTTTTTTCTAATCCTCCATGCGCTGTAATTTTTGTTGGTTTTATTTCTTTTTGTTCAGATTTTATACTAAGATTCCTAAGTAATGAAGTCAGATTCTGCTAGGTGTGACCTTAGCGCACAGAGAAATAGGTTTCACCCTGTGCAGGTGCAGAGTGCAGAAGGATCCTGCCTCACTGCCAGACTGCAGTGCAAGTCTGTATCAGATCAGTTGCTTTCTGGGTTAGTTGTTTGGAAATGTGCATGGAAAATTCTGAAGTGTTAGCTGGGGGCGAGCAGAAGTCAGCTCTGATTGGAATGATGCGTGAGAGAAAGCTGCAGTGTGTGTTCAGAGCTGTGTGTGCTGCACACAAGTGAATTGGCTGATGGCAGCAGTGCTGGAACAGGGCAAAGCAGGGCAGGACTGAGCACGGATGATTCTTGCAGAGTGATCACAGTGTGACCTGTGCTTCACCTCCCGGCAGATCCATCATGCGGGGCTGTGACAACATGTGCAGCTACTGCATTGTGCCCTTCACACGTGGCCGAGAGAGGAGCCGCCCCGTCGCGTCCATCCTGCAGGAAGTGAAGATACTCTCAGATCAGGTGGGGCAGAGCCTGCTTCCACCTTTCCCAAATGCTGTGTGGGTTCTCAGTGAATGTTCAGTGGTAGCTTTGACCGATGGCACAGCCTTCATCTCTGGAATGAGATTGCTTTGAGGTTCCACCAGTTGCTGTTTCGTTCCCCTTGTAATATTCTGAGACACGCAGGGAAGAGAAGGTTCCCCTTGGAGTCTTCTCTTGAAGTAAGAGTGGAGCCATGGCTGCCATTGCAGCTCAGCCATCCCGTTTGGACCATCATTTTTTCTTTTCTCTCTGTTTACCTTTGTAGGGGGTGAAAGAAGTGACCCTTTTGGGTCAGAATGTCAACAGCTTTCGAGACATGTCTGAGGTGCAGTTTCACTCAGCTGCTGCCCCAGTCCTCAGCCGTGGCTTTAGCACTGTCTACAAAGCTAAACCAGGAGGCTTGCGTTTTGCACATCTTCTAGACCAGGTCTCTAGAATTGATCCAGAAATGAGGATTCGTTTCACTTCTCCACACCCCAAGGATTTTCCTGATGAGGCAAGTATGAAATAAACACCTGGGCCTCTATCTTACAGGCAGACAGCTGTGAAATGTTAGAGGTGGGTTGTGCTTCCTTCCCGGAGGTAACAAAGAATCACAGGATAGGAGCTTAGGAAGGGGAATGTGTGTGCCAAAGCTGGCAGTTTTTCCATCTGCTGTCTTTTATCTGGGGAAGACTCTTTTCTTTAGCATTCTGGTAGAGCCGAGCTACCTGTGATGTTGTGTCCTGAACGTGCCTGAATACACCTCACAGGTCCTGCAGCTTATCCAGGAACGGCACAACATCTGCAAACAACTTCACCTCCCAGCCCAGAGTGGAAGCACTCGGGTCCTGGAAGCCATGCGGCGGGGGTGAGCGATGGCCATGGGGAGCCCTGTGCCCTGCTGCCTGCTTTATGGTGCTGCTTTCTCCTCACCAATCTCAGAGTTTTCTGATTGACAAATCCCTGTGTTGCTCATCTCAGATACACAAGAGAAGCATATTTAGAGCTTGTACAGCATGTGCGCAGCACCATCCCAGGTAGGGACTCCCTGTAGCTTGACCTGAGCTCAGCACAGCTGTATCTTGCTGACCTTTCTTGAATGAAGTGTTCCTGTCTTCCCTGAGCGAAGTGTAAATCTGCATCTCTGTGACAGGAGTGATTTTAAGCAGCGATTTCATTGCTGGTTTCTGTGGGGAGACAGAAGAAGATCACCAGCAGACTGTGTCCCTGCTGCGGGAAGTGCGCTACAACGTGGGCTTCCTCTTTGCCTACAGCATGAGGCAGGTGAGTGCAAGATCTGATGGAGAAGAGTCTTTTCTCTGGGCATCTTCTCTTAACTCCTTAAGTGCTGTTTCTCACAGTGAGACAGTAGCAAAATCTGTTGAAAATAATACCTAAAAACATGGTAGCTTGGCAAACTTGTTTTGCTTGCATGCAGCATTCCAAGTGGATGTGGTGCTGCAAAAGCCATCTTTATGCCAGAAAAGCTTCCAGCTCTCCTGTGCAAGCATCAGGGTTGATTAGGGCAGCCTGGTTTTGCAGGTGTCCTAGAGTAACTGCAACAAAGCAGCCACACTAGCATTGAACTGGCTGCAGGTCCATCTTTTTTTGCTGATGAAAAGTTGTGCTGATGTAGCTGGACTTGAGCCCAGCTATAGAGACTTTTTGTCAATCAAGTCTGGAGAGAACTGATGTGTTTTCAGAAGGTATTTCAAGGAGAAAAGTTGACAGTCGACAAGTTTTTATTAGAATGCTCCAAGGTGTGAGCTGTCGATGGGGGAAGAGGGCAGAAGATTGGGAAACATCAAGAAAAAAGGATTATGGATCATCCTTCAGCACAGTGAGAGTAGAGGTGGTAGAATCCATTTCCCGTCCTTGTGAACAGTCAGGCAGTGCCCATCTGCAGCTGCAGGTCTCGTGCTTCACACAGCCACAAGCATTCCTGTGGCAAAAACTCTGTTGCTTGCAGAAAACTCGGGCGTCTCACCGGCTGCAGGATGACGTGCCTGCAGGTGTGAAGCGGAGGCGACTGGAGGAGCTCATCGCTGTCTTTCGAGAGGAGGCTGCAAGGGCAAACGAGGCGATGGTGGGCCAGGCCCAGCTGGTGCTGGTGGAGGGGGTGAGCGTGTTTGTAAGAGCTGTCTGTCTGCCTTGTGTTGTCCAAGAGGCTCTTAGGCTGTGCACTGCAGTCGTCACCTCTGCCTTCACTTCTTGCCTTTCCTTACACAGTCCTGGTACTTTGAGGTCCCTTCCAACCCAATGCATTCTGTGGTACTCCGAGACAACGTGTTCAGCTTGATTTTTCCACAGCACTCAGCTGAGCACAAAGTGGTGCCAAGTAAAGTTGCAGTCCCTCTTGTTTTGGGCTTCAGTGATTTTGCTTCTTAAAAACCTTGGTCTGAATATTGGGAAGCTCTCCATAGTTGGGATGTTGTACAGCAGTCTGTGAAGAGGTAACTGGATGAAGCTGAGGTGATTTATTATGGCTTGGTAGCAAGGCACAAACAGCAGGTTGGATCTTTCATACATTTGTGAAGGTGAGGCTGCTTTCTCAAGGACTGGTGGTCCTGGAAAGGAAGGGGATAGGTGGAGAGATGCCTCTGTCTAAACTGGAATGAGTGCAGGCTTTCAAACATTGCCTTTAGTGTCTCTCTCAACAGCAACTCTGTCCGTAGGGCTTTGTTATGTGGCATGCTCAATCATGTGGAATTTGGCTTTCTGTACTGACGTTGGTGCTCAGTTCCCGATGCAGTACAGCCCAGCAATAATTAGTCAAAGCTATTGCCATGCCAATAATGTTTCCCTGTTCTTTCCAGCCCAGCAAGCGCTCTGCCTCCGAGCTGTGTGGGAGGAATGATGGCAACATCAAGGTGATCTTCCCTGATGCCCACACAGAGGATGCTGGGGGCTGCAAGGCTCTGGTCAGAGCCCAGCCTGGGGACTACGTTTTGGTGAAGGTGACCTGCCTGTAATTCTTGTTCCCTTAGGCTCTTTTTGTTTTTCCCTGCACAGTGCTGTTTCCTACAGCAGCTATTGCCCGGAGAGCCTAAAATCAGAATGGATCCTCCTCAGCCTTTTTATTCCTGAGGAATGTTATTCTGTTTCTTTCAGGTAACCTCTGCCAGCTCTCAGACCTTGAAGGGAGTCCTGCTTTGTCGTACCACCCTCTCCCGCTCCGCAGCTTGTCCCTGAGGTATCCCTGCTGCCAGTGGGCAGAAGTAGCTTATTTTCTCTAGAAAGAAACAAGAAATTTGGTTAAGTGGAGATGGGGCAGAGACAGGATCTATTTCTTTATTTATCTTGCCGTAATTGGGTCTGTCTCCCATTCGGCAACACCATGCCCCTTCTAAATCTGTGCAAGTTTATGGACTGGGATGGAAGCTGTACATTCGTGTGCCAAACCCCAGTACTGTGTGATTTGGTGCTTTCACTTGCTGTCAGGCCTGGCTCACCTTTGCAGTGCTGCAGGTTTGTCTTCTGATTGTGTCCTCTGATGCAGCCCAGCCCTGAGAGCTTTGTCTGCAGAGCAGGTCGTTGCTCCTAGCCCAGCTGAATTTGGAAGCTGCAGAGACTGACAGCACCAGGGAAACAGAACTCCAGTAACTTCCAGAGGATCACAGGAGAACTGCCAGAGGAGACAGGCTACTTGAAGAACAGGATAAGCTGGTGATGGATTCTTTCCAAATAACGATAACCTCCTCAATTGCAAAATACTTGGGAAGTAAGACCCTGAGCTGTGCCTGTATGATGGAATGTAGCACCAAAGTGTGGAATATAAAATGTCTTTTAGTGAGCATGAGTGATGCTTAGTATGTTTTGTTGGGGGGCTGAGGGAATACAGTTCTGCCTTTGCTCTGGGGTTGCTTGTCTTTTTGTTGGAAGGGATTTCCCTGTCTCCAGGCCTGAGGGAATGAATGCATGGGAGGAACTGTTTTCCAGCTGAGGGTTCTCTCACTAGCCTGTTAAATCTTTAACTACAGCTTTGCACTCATTTTCTGTGGTAAGTCTTTCCTTTTGCTTTGCAAGAGGAAAGAAATTGTGCCCATCTAAAAGGCCGATAACTTTGTAAGTACATCTTACAGTGCCTTGTTTTTAGCAGAGCCTGCAGTTAGCTGTTGTGTCATATTCCAGCCTGCTCTGCCAGATTAAAACAAATGCCTGTAACCTGCGCTTGTAAGCAAAGTCTCCTCTGAGGTTTGAGGGGAAAAAATCACACCTTTCAGTATTGATTATCGTGTTACTAAAAGAAATCATTGTAAAAAAGTGCTGCCCAGAGAGATGTTGAAGGAAGAGTTGACCAACGCTCCATAGAGGAGCACCTGCATGGACTTAGAGAATTTTTTAGCAAGCATGAAACCATTTTGCTGGAGAGCTGAGCAGGAGAGAAGACTTTACCTGGGATATAATTGTATCTCTTTGCAAGCAGCGTGGTTCAAGGGTTGTTAGGCTGTGGTTTAAGAAACAAATACTTTTTTTTATGAACTCAGAGCTGAGTCTCATCTGCACAGAGCATCTGCAGTCAGCACTGGTGAGTGGGTCCTGAGGTGCAGAGAAATACTGTCGTTCTGCCACCCCACCTCCAACTCAGAGCCTTGGCCCAGGCTCACAAACTGGGGCTTACAGCTCTGCTGCCCCGTGTGTAGGATCTTAGCAGTGGGCTCTTAAGGAAGGGGCAGCAAGAAGCTGTTGGGCTTGGAATGCCGAAGGAGGGGCAGGGTGCAAACACATCATCTCCCAGCTGTGACAAGAGTAAAGCCAGCCTATTCCTGCTAATAAAAGCCACCTGGTAAGTGGCCCAGTTTTCTGTGGCATCTCTTTCAACTCGAGCTCTCTCATGCATCTTGGTGGCCACAGCCTGTGCTCTGAAAAGGGCTGACTGCTGCCTTTCACAGCTCGTTTTCACCTGTCCTTAGAAGCACCTATTCCCAGGTGAGAAATGCAGACTGAGTGTTCTCTCCCCACTCCTGCCAGCCAGATTTGAGGCCAGCTGTGGTCGTTTTACAATCATTATTTTAAGAGTGAGAGACTAATGAGGAGGAGAGCTGGGTTTTACATTTTGATGAGGAGGTGATAACGCTCACTGCACAGACTCCCCAGGGAGCCATAGTGCTTACCATTTACCTCGCCTCCTTAGTTTTTATAGGCCTCGGGAATGAAGGCTGGGGTTTTAAGGCAGCAAAGCATCCATTAGGAAGTGCTTACAGTGACCTTGGAGGCAGAGTTAAGTCATTTGACACTGCCTGAAAGCAGGAACGTCCCCCCCACCCCTTCCCTCTGGGGCTGGAAGGCACATGGTTTCCGTATGGCACGTGAGATGATGAGCTCCTATCTCTTTCTGTGTCCTGCTGGCCTAGGCTGCCCTCTCAGGGCTTCCTGCAGCTCAGCCTGTCCTGGAGCCTCAGCTCTTGCTGCAGGGTCCCTTCAGGGAGTGGGAACAAAGCTGTACATCTGTGGGGCTGGAGGAGCCCCAGTGACACCTGCACATCTCTTTGGTTCTGATGAGGCTCTTGGTGGGTAAGTTTCCAAGCACAGCCCGTAGTGCTGGGCTGATATTTGCATTCAGGCTTCAGCCATGCCCCGAGGCAGCTCCCAACACATGCATTTCACAGCATGGAACCACACGCTTTCAGCTTGCAGAGTGTTGCAGTTAGGTGAGGGGGATGAGAACATGAACACACAGCAAATGTTACAGCACTGCAGGAAGGTCAGAGCCAACAAAAGGATTTGTGTTCTCCGGACCCACATCACAGCAGCCCCAAGAACAAACCTGGGGCCTGGAGTCGTGCAGCTTCTCCTTTGTGAGCAATTTATCTCCTGTGCTGACAGCTCGCTATCGACTCCCCGTCCTCCTGAAGAGGAGCTGTCCTGCTTCATCAGCTTTAAATTAGTTTTATCTTTAGACTTTCCTGTTAATAAGCTCTTGTCGCGGTGTCATTATTTGATATCTATTTTCTGATGTTCTTTGTTAATGGCTCTGTATCTTCTTGCACTTTTTCCCTCCTGGCCACACTATTTGATCACTGGATGTGCACAGGGCAGCCCAGTGCTCACGGACCAGTGCAGCCCAATGCAGGTGGCTGTGTATCTGCACAGAGTAGGTCTGGAATGCTGGCAGCCCTTTGGGTTTGGGGAGAAAAAAAAGCTATGTGTACCTGTGATTTGAGGTCTTGTTGTGCAGCAAAGGGACCTGGAGCTCCCACTCAGCTCAGGGCTCCCCTGCTCACAGTTCTCATGTCGATGGGGACAAGAAGGGCGCCTGGTTTCTTGTCAGAAAACCCTGATACGAGAACCAACTGCTGCACAGTGGCATTGCTAATGAAGCTATCAGGGTGTTTCAGGGCTGCTCGTGTTCGGTGTTACGTCTGCTATCTGCAAAGTCAGGTCACGGGGAGAATTAGCTGCCCAGCCCCTGTTGTTGACTTGCATGCAGAAATTACACAGCAAAGTGCCACCAACTGCAAGATCTGTCATTTGCAGCAGTGCCTACAGCACTGTTTTTAGGCTGATTAATATTCAGAGCACTGCTGTGAAAATGAAAAGCCAGACAGAACGGTCCTCCTCCCCTTTCTGCATCCACGAAGATGCCAAGGGGAATGGCTGAGGCGAGGAAACAAACACAGCATTCACTTTCTGTCGAGCCGATAGGGGTCATGTGAACCTAAAAGAGGTACTCCATCTTCTGCTGCTTGTTTCCCTAGGACCTGTGAGCACAGCACCCCAAGGCATTGCTCGCAGCAGTGAGTTCCATCTCTCCCCTGCCCTGCAACCCCACCCCTGAGCCGTGGACAGACCCCCAGCCCCACGGCTTCACCTAATTTAGCAGAAAAAAACCCCCTTTTTCTAGCATCAGAAATGATCCACGTGGGATTCGTTGGGCCAGCAGCAGTTGGGGCTTTGGGGACCTGGAGCACCGGTTCGAGTGGGATCAGGTCAGTGCTTCAGGGCCATGGGGTGGCTGTGATGGGGAGGGGCACAGCTGTACCTGAGGCCTTTCATTGCAGCCCCCCCTGCTGTGCCCCACAGCCCCCAATGTGTGGGGGTCTGGGTGTCCTTCCCCCCTCCAGCAGCATTAGTTTGTGTTCAAGCAGTGCTAGTTTGCTGGTGGGAGAAAGGAATAAAAGAACCTCGGGGACAGGGGCAGAATAAATCTGCATACATACAAAAGAGGGGAAAGTTGATTCCCCCCATTGACTGCATTTCTGCAGCTCTGCCCGTGACTGCACCGTACTCCCGGAGCTGAGAGGAGAGGCGAGTAGCAAAACCCTCACAAATTCAAAGCTCCTTTGGAAAGAACCCAAACCACGTGCTGAATGCAGATGAGGAAAAAGACCTTTTTAATGCGAGGAGCAGCAGAGGGGTGCAGGTCAGCCTCACCCACAGCGCAGAACGTTGGAGCCCACAGGGCAGGGGAGCAGTCACCTACTGCCCACTGCTGGGGTCAATACCTGCAGCTGGGAGAGAGAAGCGTGGTCAGAGCCCCCCCCCCTGGCCTGATGAGCCCCCAGCCCTGCTGTGCTCTGCCTGTGCCCGGCTCTGTGCACTGAGCTGATTTGTTGCCCTGAGGAATTGGGCCCTGGGGAAGCTGGGATGGCTTCCAACTCTGCCTTCCTTCCTCTCTATATTAACTTCGCCTGCATATGAAGCTGAAAGCTCTTCCAATCACCTCTGCAAATATTAATTAATCCTCACAGCATCCCGAGAACCATTATTCACTCCCACTAGGTAAATATTATGAGATCCTTTTATAAGAGGTGAAGCGCCTTTCCCAGGGCTGTACAGAGCAGCAGTGTGCAGAACTCATCACCTCCTGCTGCCCACATCCTCCTGCCCCCCTGTTCTTTGTCCCTCTGTCCCCATCCCTATGTCCTTCTGTCTGTCTGTCCCCACGTCCCCATCCCGATGTCCCTCATCTCCATGTTCCCCTGTCCCTAAGGCCTCCTCTGCACTCACTGCGCAGCAGCCAATCGATGAACACAGCTGGGAACGGAGAATTCTGCAACAAATGAGGAGAGCTGTGAGGGGAGGAAGACGGGGAAAAGACAGGGGTGAGATGTGGCCAAACCCACAGCCTGAAACACCAGCGGGGTCGTACCTGCAGGTTCAGATCCAAGGAGTTCTCTGAGGTCAGCGGCAAGCTGGAGAGTGCAGAGTGGATCTTCCCAAGGAGTCCAAAAGGGACAACGCCTGCAGAAAGCAAAGGGGTGGGAGGAGGGGCAGAGCCCAGGGCTGGCAGCAGGGCCACCTCCTGCCCTGAGCCCCACTGCCCCGTGCCTGGGAACGCATCCCTGAGTGGGGGTGTCCCAGTGCCAAGGGGAAAATGCTCTCGTCTTTCTGAGGTCTCACACACTTTAGGGTCCACAGGCACTGAAAGGCACAGACATCCTCAGGGATGTCTGCTGGATGGCACAGCCCACAGGGGATGTTTCTGGTAGCAGTGAAAACCTTCCATGGGCTACACACAGACACCCCATCTGCTGCTCTATGAGTTCACGTGGGCACATTGACAACTTACGGTTGAGAAACTGCAGCTCGGTGTTGATGATGCTGAACCAAGCGTTCACTAACGGGCAAAACTGCAATGGCACAACGAGAGGAACGACCTCAGTGAGGTATGGCAGCTGTGGTAACATCTCAGCACCATCATCTGAGTCTCACAGACTTCAAATGAAGACAGAGCAATCCAGAGCATCGTTTCCTCCGCGGAAAAAGAAGGCTATAAATTGTTCAGCCCTCTTCTCCGAACGGCCCAGATCCTATTTAGCAGAATAACAGATTTTCCAGCCAGCACCTTTT